TCAAGCATCACTCAGAGAGCTAAAATTAGTTTTAATGCAGACACTTAAATCTAGTCTGGGCTCAGATGTTGTGAATTATGAAATGCTGAAGCATCTGCCCTGTAAGTCATTGACTGGGCTTCTCATTTTTACAACTGAGTGTGGGAAGAGCATATTTTTCAAAGTGCATGGAAGAAAGCTGTAGTCTTTCCCATAGCTAAGCTAGGAAAAGACTCAAAGAATCCTTCAAACTACTGATCTATCACACTTATGAGCTGTATTTGCAAATTATTTGGAAAAATGGTAAACAGTTACATAGTCTGTTACTTATAAAAAATTAGTGTCATTTAGCCTTATGAGAGTGGTTTCCGCAAGGGAAGAATGACCATCGATATCTTGCTTCTTTTCAAAACCACCATTTGTAAAGTCTGTGAAGAGAAACCATCTATTTACTATCTTCTTTGACACTGAAAAGGCTTATGACAATGCATAATGCATGGAAATATGGCATAATTTGTGATCTTTACACTTTTTGCGTGCCAACATTCGTATCAAATATTTTGATGGAGAGGTCTTTCCAAATAAAATTGGCTGTGTGTTATCACATTTTTTTTTTTTTTTTTTTTTTTTATCAAGGAGAGGGTGTGCTTCAAGGTTCTGTGTTTAGTGTAACATTTTTTTCGTTTGACTATTCAGTTTTACGAGACCTTGCTACAGCTTTAGGATCATTGTATGTTGATGACTTTCAGATAAGCTGCCAAGTTGTGGATGTGAGACATGTAGAGAGACAATTGCAGATTGCTCTTTACAGAGTACAGAAATTGTTAGCCAAATATGGCTTTATATTTTCGAAGCAGAGGATCATATGTGTGCATTTTTGTCAACAGAGTAGTTTCCATCTCGAGCCTGAGCAAGGGTCACTGATCCCAGTATTAAAGTTCTTAGAAGTGATGTTCCACTGAGAACTAAACTTTCCTTCCTCATGTCCTCTACCTGAGGAAGAAATACTGCAAAATTTTGAATCTGTTAAAAATCTTAGCAAACACCTTTTGGGGTGCAGATTGTTGCTGTTTGCTGTGCAATTATAGAACACATGCTTGCTATAGGTTGGATTATGGCTTAGTTGTTTGGTTGGCAAAGTTTTCAGTTTTGCTTAAGCTTGATCCTATAAGGCTTTGTGAATATGCTTCAGATCATTTCAAATGTCTCTAGTGCAAAGCCTGTATGTTGACAGTTATGAATCCTCACTTCAATTAAGGCATGAGCAGTTATCTCTTTGCCATTATTTTAATATGCTATCACTTACTGACCATCCTTACAAAGTTACTTTGCTTGATGACAGTTACAGTCTAAGTTATGCCTCCTTGGATTGCCTCTAGGGGTTGTTACAATTAACAGTATAAGGCACTTAAAAATGAAGCCAGGTCTGAGTGCCCATTTTCCCTAGTATACTATTGTTTGAAGCACGACCATTCTGTGTGTCTATTTCTTTCTAAGGGTTCACTCATTCATTGAAAAATATCACATGATGGATATTAATACCCGAGCAGTAAAGCATTTTAAAAATCCTCTTTAGAAAACTACAGAGATTTGGCTTCTTAATGTATTCCAAAATCTCGTAAAAAAAGATACTAACAAGTTCTTTTATAAGCAACTCTTTTCCAAGCACAGAGTTAAGGAGTTAAGTACAGTAGTTATATTCCTGTGTTTACAAATGGAATTTAAAGTAATAGATCTCACTGGTGTGTCATTTATTATTGAGAACCACATAGAGGGTACAAGACTGCATGATGCTTGTTCAGCCCTCACCTTGGAATTAACTGCTGTTGGTAATAAATACACAGCATTTAATTCCTCACCTTGGAATTAACTGCTGTTGGTAATAAATACACAGCATTTAATTCCTCACCTTGGAATTAAATGCTGTGTACTACACTTTTTAATTCATATCTAAGCTTCGCCAGAGAAAATTCATTGTATATACTGACTTGTTTAGTACTTTAGAAACTTTTTCTGGTGTGCAGAATACTGTGGTAGGTAATATCGTAAGTTTGCATCTGAAATAAAAAAATTGAGCCATGGGTCCCAGATCCTTTACTGCTGGATTCCTGGACGTGTAGGCATAAAAAGTAACGAGCTGAAGAAAATTATAGCAAAGCCAGCAGTTTTTTATGAATTTGCTCTGGTTTTAAGTTTGTTTTTGAAAATATTTAAGCATATGCTTGGTGCATATAACCTTTCAGATTATGTGCCAAAACATCCATTACCACATCACTATTTTCAGAATTTAATTTGAATTTTTTTAATTTAATGTTTAAATAGTTTTTTTTGCATAGATATTTATTTAACAAATAGACTAAAAATATCAAAATTTTACTGTTTTCAGCATTGAATAGAGTGGAAAAGTCTTTTAAATTAGTTTGAAATTTTTAAATGCATTTCTGAATTTTTAGCAAATTTGTTTTTGTGATTTTTCTGATTATTTAACATCTATGATTTTAAAATTTCAACATTTAAAAATGTACCAGATATTTGGAAATTTTCATAGATTATGAAATAAATACTTTGCTTTATTTTACAACAAGAATTAACATATATGTGTCGGATAAAAAATATGTAAATCAAAATTAAAATTTAATTAACAACACTCCCATAATTTTCCCTCTCTATTCTAAAAATCATAATAACTTCTCAGGATTGCATCATTTGTAGATTAATCCATCTCACCTGGCCTGTGCAGTGCTGATGACATGGGTAATTCAGAACTTAAACTCAAAATTTTGAGAACTAAAACCTTTCTAACCTAAACTAAATCCTTCCTCTTGGTGAGCTTCCTTATTGGATAAGTGCACACTTTCAGATTGAACCTGTGTGCTCCTTGCACATTATTTCGCTGTGCTCTCTTTGTAATGCAACAATATCATAAATGTAAATGTTCTGGAAATAGGCATGATTAGAAGTGCCAAGTGAATTGTGGCCACGAATGTCAAATTGAATAAAAATGGAATTTAATGTGCCTGAACTGCCAAGTTTCTTAGTCATTAAGGATTCAAAGTTTTAACATTCAGCGCAGTCACAATTCTTCCTCTTCAGTATGGATCTATGTTCTCTACCAAACCGTATTGCTACATCTTTTTCTTTTTGTCATCACACACACGCACACACACAGACATATATATATATATATATATATATATTCGGCAATTTTCTACTTTTATTTAAAAATATGTTGCCTTCTCAAGCAGAAGGGGGGGGGGAGAAATTATTTCCTCTGTTCATTTACTTTCAAGGTTATGATGCCATCATATCACATGTTTCTTATTGTTTTTATATACATAAATCTTAGCATTTACTATCTAAAAAAAAAAAAAAAAAAAAAAAGTTTGATTAACGTTTGAAAATATTTGCAATGAAATCTACCCTGCCATTTTTTATTTTTTCCATTTCATAAATTTACATACATTTCTTCAGCATTTCAGTTTAAAAATTGGTTATCTTAATTTTATTGTAGTACATAATATTATATTCTTTTCTGAGACTTTAAAATTATAGCTGTTATAAAGATTTGAAATTTTCAGTTATTATAAAACAAACTCTTCACTGTCTTTAAAAACAAGAATGATAAAAACAATATTAATCCTGTGAATCTCCAGAACATTTTAAAAACTAACCATACTTTTATAAGCTTTTACTTAACTCTATAATGGTGTTTATCAATGTGGTCAAAACTTTGCCATGGGTTTTTAAACTTTCTTGATGAGCTGTGGAACTCAAAATTTGTGCACACACTCGTTATGGCTGACAATACAGTTGAAGTGATGTTGTAAAATTTAATGTTTATGAGTAAAGGATTTTTCATGCATATTTCATTTAATGAAGAAACTAAAATTCTGATAATTTTATTGTTTGCATCTATGGGATAGAGTAAGGAAAAAATTCTTTCTTATAAATTTCATATGAGATTTTTAATGTAGTTAATTTCTGATTTTTTAGCAATTTAATATTTAACATAACAGAACAGCTGGAAGAAATTATTAGTTCTAATTGAAAAATGATTTTTCAATTGAATAATTTGATGGATAGTGTGTCATTGAGATGAAAAAAAAAAAAAAAAAGTTAAAAGAAGGTTTTTAAAAACAAGTTGTTATTTAAAACTCATAAAATTATTAATGAATGAAAATGAGAAAAATAATTTAGTTTATAGTTTAATGAAAACAATAGATTAAATAATTTTTACAGAATTCGTTTACAATTTTATATTCCAAATAATAAGAACATGGGTGCCTAAATAACAAAATCTATTAATTTAATTGCATTTTCAAAGGTAGAAATAATTTTCTTTATAAATTTATTAAGTGTGCCCCACACATTATTTGTGATGTAAAGTTGTAGATGAATTCTGTAAAGAGAATTAGTTAATCTATTGTTCCCATTAAACTATATGATAAATTATTTTTCTCCTTTTAGTTCATTAGTGATTTTACGAGTTTTATATAAAAGCTTTTTTTTTAAACTTTTTTTCAAAAGTATTTTTTATTAGTTTTTAGGCTTGTTTGATGATTAATTACAGAGAATGAAAGAATTAAAAGTAAGAAAAGTATCGAAATTGCTCCAAAGCATGACTTCATTGTCCTGATGAAAACAGTGGCAATTGATTATAAATATCCTTTCTTTATATCATTATTATTACTAAGAATACAGACTAAGCTTATGATGTATATTTTCTAAAATTTTAAAATTGAGTATTGATTGTCTCTTACTTGTATGTAATTTTATATTTAATCATACATGAATTATGTGAAGACTTTTGCCTTGATTTTTATATTGATTTTACTACATCTGTTGTTACTTTACTATATCCTTAAATATTTTTATTTGGAATTTCTTTAAAATAAATGCATTCATCATGTATTCTATAGTTTAAGAAATAAGTATTTTCTGGTTTATATTAAAACCTATTTTTAAACCAATGTATTACAATATTTATAGTTATATTCCTAACTAATTTACATTCCATTTAGTGGGCGAAATCCTACATTTTATTCAACTTTATATGCTATTAAGCCTCATATTTTAGTCTTAAATAAAAGTGATCTTGCTGACTTATCACGTATAAATGACATCAGACAAGGTTTGTTACAAGAAAATATACACCATGTTTTATTTGCTAGTTGCAAAGGTGGATCCAAAAGTGGAATTAATAAGGTTAGTGTGAAAATATATTGTAAAATAATTTTTAGAACAATATTTATTTTCAAAATATTATATTTAAAAAAAAAATTTTTTTTTTTTTTTAAAGTGCCCAGTGAATTTTTAAGTTGCAAACCTTGATTCTGTATTGTAAATAAGAGCAATCAGGATTATACAAGTATTAAAAATGACATAAACTCTACTTAATAATGGTAAAGAACCACAAAAAATTGTTGCTTTCTATATGCCAGATTTTAATGAATTAGAATAGAATAAAATATTGTTGTTTAATTTCATTTTCAGTTGATAAACTGTTTGCAGTGCATATTTAATTTCTGTTCATTGTCAAAAAAGATTGGTTATAATTTGATATACCAAACAAGATAATAATATTACTAACCAGATTTTATGTAATATACACTCTTAGACAAAAAAAAAAAAAAAAAAAAAGACGCACCAAGAAAGGAGTTATTTGAATGGGCTGAAAATCGGTAGAAGTGATGTACATGTGCAGAAAAACAAATGATTACAGTGTGAGAAAAATTGGATGGTTTATTGAAGTGATAGAGCTTCACAAAGTGAAAAAGTCAGTAATGCGTTTGTCCACCTCTGGCCCTTATGCAGTGGCGTAGCTAGCATAACTGGTGCCCGGGGCACGATACCTTTCTGGTGCCCCCCGAAAAACATATAGTAATGTAATATATAGAATGTACTCGTAATAAGAATATAAGACAAAAAGGTACTTTTCCATTTCTCTGGCGCAAATCTCGCCAAGCAGACTTTATTGGCGAAAACACATAGTATACACATAAAGAATGTTGACAAATGTTCTAAGAATTTTTTTATTTTGAAGGTATAAACGTTTTAATGTCGTTTAAAATTTTGTAAAAAAGCCTATAAATAAAGACAATACATTTGTAAAAAAAATTAATTTAATGATTTTCAATCATTTCATCATAGAACATCCTGATTCGCCGCTTCATATCACGTGACCCCAAGTGATCTCATCTCACGTAAACTATGCTACAAAAATCTAATTCTCTCAGTAATTGTCTACATTAATTTCAACTTAAGTCTTAATTTGGAATACAAGTTTAAATGCCAGATTTATTTCAATTCTTACGAATAGCTTACTCAGAAATTTTGTAAAACCGCAGTACTTTACTTCGCTAGTGCATTCTAATTAGAATTGATTAATTTAACTCTTGACTCTTACTTTTCTATATTTTCGCCATTGGGTGAGCGGTATGATTGCATCCTAATTGACTTAATTACCACCCGCGAATGGCCTTAAGGCATAAAATTGAACTATCTTGTAAAAATTCTGTGTAATTGTATGCCAGTATTGAAAGAAACATTCAGTCTGATAAGAAACGGCTGCTACTTATTTTGAAAGCGAGACATAAAAGTTTACCAGCGAGGATATTCTGTTTGGCATGAATTGTACCATTACTGACAAAACGGAAAAGTACCGACAAAAATAAAAGATTACAGTACCTAGCTTAAAATATTCTATAATATATTACGAATAGTTACTGCAAGTACTGGTCGACAAAACACCGTACTGTTTTTTGAGATATATAGGAGCACAGGCTCAGGTTAGGTTTTAAATTTGAGACAAAAGAATCTTGTTAAAAAAACCAAGACTGGACTTGGATTCGGAAATCTGTCTGTCAGTAGAAAAATCGGACATACGGTCATCTAGAATAAGTTAAAGATGTTTTTTATTTTACATACTTATTTAATTAAAAAAAAGTACAATTTTCAAACGATTTAAAAGTTCATATATATAAGGTTGCTATATTTATTAATAATATTATATTATAATAAATGAATACAGTTAATTACTATGTATATATTTTTCTTGCCTTGGATGAAGCAAATTTGTCAAGTAATTCATCAAAGTCGATCATTTCAAATTTTTCTCTTTCTACACTTAAAAATGCTAGGTCACTTAAACGATCTTGTCCCATCGTTGATCGTAGATGTGTCAAAATTAATTTTAATTTGCTGAACGAACGTTCACAGCTAGCAATTGATACTGGAATAGTAAGGAATATTTGTAGAGCGACTCTCAGATTTGGAAAAACATCTTCTCCATATGGTATTATAAAGGTGAAGCTGTAATGGAGTTTTAAGTTCAATTTCTTTTCTACTGTGGAGTAACATCTTGCAGTCACATATTTCGACATAGAGTTCTGTTCTTTTATAATCTGTATCATAAAATTCACGCAAATTTTTACAATTCTTTTCAAGATCTTTAGCTATATTACCCTTGTTTAATTAGTTTTCAACGTCCAGTAAAAATCCAAATTTGGAGTTAGGATCACGTAGTCGTGTAAATCACTTATTTATTTCCTGCTGCAGACGATCAAGAACGCTTTTCATAGCGTGAGAAATTTCACTTTCTGCGGAAAGGCCAATGTCTCTAGACAATTCTCCGGGCATTTTTTCGCATCTTCTAACACGGATTGTTGTATCAATACCCAATTTTTCACAGAGATTTAGCCTTTTCTATTGCATCTTGACAGATCTCGTCTCGAATTTCTGCAAGTTCAGTCGCTAATGACTCAAGATCATGGAACGCTTTTCTAAAATTCATTTTGGGATCTTGTAACCTAAGCTGCACACGATCAATTCTCCTCAAGATTTTATGCCAGAAATAGACTAAAGTTATGAAACTAAAATTCAGCATATCTTGCAATAAAAGTTCAGCTTCACTTCTGGTGTCACTTGTGGTAATACTATCCTCTGCTAATTTTTCTAATAGTTCTACTAATTCTCCCAGTCCCCCAACAATAACGCTAACCGCTTCTGCTTTGGCGCTGCATCATGTTTCAGATTCACGTTTAATAATTCCCATCATAATGTTGAACATGAGAAAAATAGATATAGGTTTTCAATTATTCCAAAGCATGTTATAACGATTGGATCTTGCTTAGCTGCAGTGACTCCTACTAAATTTAATGAGTGGTTATCACAATTTACAAATAATTCTTTATTATTTTTTTCCATAATTCTTTGTTGAATGCCAGATATGCGACCTGACATCACAGCAGCATTATCATAACATTGTGATCTACAATTTGTTAATGAAATCTGATCGGAATTTAATTTTTCTAAAATTGTATTTTCAATTGAAGCTGCATCTTTAGCATGTATTTCAATAAATCCTAAAAAATATTCTTTGATGGAAACTTTGCTGTTGGTAAAATCAGTATCTACATACCTAAAAAGACTTGCGATATTTGTTCTCGATGAGTAATGTCAGGAGTTGAATCAAGTAAAAGTCTGTAATATATTTTTTTTATGTCACTTATTAGTTGATTTCGAACTATGGATGCCAAAAGATGAATAAATTCATTTTGGATTTGTGGGGATAGGTATGAGACAGTTCTTGGCGTTTCTTAGATGAGTAGTCAAGAACTGTCTCATATTACTTGTCAGTTGATTTTTTAGATGAGTAGCTGGCAGTGGATCAAACAGAGCTACAAGTTTAAGTAAAGGTAATAAGTTTCCGACATTTGTACCATATTGAAGCACTACATTTTCAATATGACCACGTAGAGGAAGAATTTGTATAACCAGATACTTCATACAAGCTAATAACCTTTGCAGTATATTTCGCCACCATTCTTTTTCAGACTGTGTATTTGCTTCTAATGATTCATCGATTCCCATTTTATTAATTAATCTTCTTTCCACATTGTAAACGATTTTCGATGAATTTGACTTCTTTCATGGCTAATCAATTTATCTTTTTTCCTCCATTTATTAAAACCAGATGCTGTTGCGAAAGATGACTGTGTAGCGGAGTTTGATGTAACAAACAGTAAACAAACATTACGCTGCATTATATTTTGGTGAATATAATAACCAAGATCGGTTTATTTCAGTTCCTTCTTCTTCATTACCGATTCATCGAAAAAAAAAAAAAAAAAAAAAAAAAAAAAAAAAAAAAAAAAAACCAAGATTTTGACATTAGACGATTAGTTGATGTTGCTATTGCATTTAGACTAGATTCGTTTTGAAATATGTGGAATCCACGAATAATCATTTCGGTGCGAAGATGGTTCGATATTATTGGACGATTATTAGAGAATTTTAAATAAGCAACATCTTTGAACTCCAGAACGTCTGGAAGTGCAGTGAGTGTTTCTGTCACATTTTTTGTACTTATTAGGTATGGACAGGGATTTGGGACTCGTGAATGTACTTGGGTCCCCAACTTCATCATCTTTAGAGTATTTTATTTGTTGTAATGTATTATCGCATAAACGTTTAGCAGTACTAGAAATACAATTTGAATTTGATTTTAGTTCTTCATCCTTCTTAACTTCTGGTTTTTCTTTTTGTGATTTGTTTATTAACTATAATTCCATTCTTATTCTGGAGTTCTGAGCTTCTTGTTCTAGTTTTCTTTTCCGATTCTGAGAACCACTAAGTTTTTCCCTTGGCATTGACATGCTCTAAATAAAAAATAATTTGCGTGAAGAGAAGTTATTAAAGAAATAAAAAGACATTAAAGGCAATTACATACAATTAAAAATGGAAAATCTCTGCAACTATTAGTAATAGGCAGAGCTGGATGTAAACTTGATGAGGCCCTAAGCTATTTGAAACTGAGGCCCTTTATAAGTCTGTTATACTATATTTTAAATTTTTGGGGGACCCTAAACTATAGCTTGTGTAGCTTATACGTAAATCCTGCACTGGTGATAATAATCCTGCACTGGTGATAGGAAATGGGAGTCTCATTTTTGAATGAAGTTTGTAGGATTCTCCACTGTGTAATGCTAAGTTACTGTTGAAAGTGAAGAATCTTAGAAACTGATAAGCGAATAAACACTTGAGTTCGTATGACAGGAAATAGCAAGATAGAAGTGTAAAAGAACCCTTTATTATTCAAATAAGATTTAACAGAACTCAGTCTTGGAGTTGTACAATAAGGCCGACACTTCGGCTTGAACTGAAGAGACTAAGAATTAGACTACACTAATCTTAACTAAAGAGAT